TTGGTAGTAAGAATTATGCATTGTTGCTCATAGTTTTTACCGTGAAAAAGATGTACAATGCAGGAGCACAGGGTGTACTGTATCTGTTTGTGCTTTTATTCTGAAAAGCTACACAGTGCAGGTGACTCCTCATTGTTTGAACGAGCATTACTGGCTCAATAATTAAGCCAGTGTGTAGATAAGTGTCTAAAGTTTCTCAGTGGACATACACAGCGATGCTGGCTTCAATAGTTGTTCTACTAAAACGCCTCAGTTTCCTCTCTAAAGTTTGACTTGGCAGTGATTCCTACATTTGCTCCATTAAGAATCCAGTAGGGCTTATCGAGAGACAGACTGACAGCTCTCTCACAGTCAGTCCTAGCGGCTGCCTCCGGCTTGTCACACCCTCAGTCCCACTGAGGCTCCGCTACTCACCCAAAGTTGGATTGTCTGGCTCCAGCTACAGTCGAGAGAGCAGCGAGCAATTACCTACAAGTGATGTCACACACTACGGACAAGGGTTTCTAACATTGAGGGTTTAAAACAGCTTTTATAAAGTGGCTATGGATCAAATTGATGGTAAATGGACTGTTTTTATATAGCACTTTTAAAGTGTTATCGACCACTCTAAGTGCTTTACAGTGCAAGTTGCATTCTCCCAGTCACACACACACACGTTCACACAATGCTTCTACATGCAGCACTCTTTTCTATACAGGTAGGGCAATTTTGGATTCAGAATCTTGCCCAAGGATACTTCAAACTGCAGACTGATGGAGCCAGGGATCGAACCACCGACCAGCCAATTATTATTATTCTTTTTTACCAGCAGTAGATAAAAAATCACAAAATAGAAATGTATTCAACATTAGATAAGGACTCAGTGGAGCGAATACCTCCACAAAGGCCCAACCGTTCTTTAAAATTCAGTCTATCCATCCAGCCATTATCTATACCGCCTATCCTTTGAGGGTTGCAGGGGGAGTTGGACCCAGTCCCAGCTGACACTGGGCAAGATGCGGGGTATACACTGGAAAGGTCACCAGCATATAGACACAAACAACCATTCACACTCACATTCAGACCTATGGTCAATTTAGAGTCTCCAATTAATCCAATCGCAAATCTGCATTTCTTTCGATTGAGGGAGCGTATCTGAAGAAATCCCACACAGACACAGGGAGAACATGCAAATTCCAGACAGAAAGACCCCGAGCAAACCCGGGATTCAAGGAACCTTCTTGCTGTGAGGAAACAGTGCTAGCCCCCCACCCGAATTTAATCAAGCCTCACCAAATTTCACACAATCATAGACATCAATCCTTTAAATAGGTTTTATTTTATCTATGAATTATGGGCTCAAAGTCCCATCCTTCTCCCCTTCACCAAGTTCTGTCAACCAAACCAACAAACAAACTTTTGTAGAGGAAAAAATGAGTTTGCCATTAAACTTCATAATAAGCAATATGCCATTCAGGCCTGACACTAATGCAGCTTTGAATAAGACTGCATGGGTTCTCTACTGCTAAAGTTAGGTACGTAGCAGTTGATAAAAGTTTGACTGGCAAAAGTGAACTGACATTTCCATCTGTAAGTAGAATTGTTTTTTTTAACAGTGTGTTCTTTCTCTCTCAGTTATCACCTAAATTCCAATGCTACAGCTGTCTTAACAAAATACAAGTGCATGTCCAGACTTTGTGTTTAAATGGTCATATTCCTTTTCCAGCACACAACTAACAAAATACCTAAAATGTCAAAAGTGCCCCCATAATCTTTCCTGCTGTACAGGGGAGGGGTATTGGTATGTGTGTAAGGGTAGTGGTAACAGGAGAGCAGTTCACCACACACATGCAAACATCACACACCCAGCCGCCTGTATGCTCAGACACACACACACACACAGACACACAGAGGGGATGTTTTGAGTGCACTGCAGTGTGGGGCACCGGGGGCCCTGAATGAAAACATGCCGGTAGAGGGATGTATCAGATGTTTGTCTGCTTGTGGAAAAAAAAAAAAAAGACATGTTGATCCAAGATCTAACTGTGGCTTCTTCCTGGGAAAAAAAAGGACTGTGAGTTCCTGCCCAGCGAGTGCTTAGCTTGGCACTTTCCCCACCAGCTCTAACTAAAGCCTCTGCAGAGTTTTATGGCGTGTGGTGAAGCCTATATATGTTTTTGGATCTATGAAGGTTTTGTGCAGACAAATGACGGTGTACAGATGACTCCGATGTAAATGTGACTCCTTTGTGCACTTGCAAACCATTCAAAATTGAAAAGAATTACCAGCTATCCAGCCTAAAAAAATGACATTAGCAATGTCAAGTCAAGGTCCAAAAGCAATTTGATAAGAGTCATTAACTACAGTGCTAATGTGGGTCACTGTTCTAGGTCTGTGGTGTGACAATTACTAGCAACACTAGCAATGGCTGACAGTAAAGCATTTGATAGATCTTTGTCTTTCTGATCAGTACAAGTTTAAACAGGTGGAAAGTCTCTTTAATATTTAATTTTTTGTTTTAAATGGCTCAGTTTTGCCTGAAGGACTGAGTGCAGTAAATGCCCAGATACTCATTAAATAACCACAAGATATACATAACTAGTCTAAGGTGAGTAAGACCCCCCCCCCCCCAGACATACAGGCACAATAGTGACGGACACAGGCTCCTTTATTTTTCTCTCTTCTATTTACTTTTGGTGGAATTCCAGTTATGGCCCCCTGGCTTCAACCCAAGCTCCGCACTGTGCACTTTCTTCATTGATCCAGTTTCATCAGCATGTTCCCAACAACCCAAAGCGCTCCACTGCTCATTAACTACAACTGCAACTCTTGGCAAGCTCTTGAGGGATAATGACTATTCACCTTAATCCATCACTGTAACAGCTTTGCATTTATGGTCAAATCCATCTCTTTTTATTTAAATGTAATTATATACTGGTGGTCTCTATCGTCAACTAGTGTTTCAGTTAGGTTGATCTGATACTTTACTTGAGTACAATATGATGTAAAGAGGGATTTTTAACCATCATATCATATAAAGAAAGGAGTTGTTCTTTTTTAAACCCATTTCCTCTCCTTCAATTATTTCCTGCAAATTCTGTAAAGAACCCATCCTTGCAGCTACAGCTGGAAATAGGGTTTCTGCGTCTATAACAACTTCTTCCTGTGTGACTGCAGAGCACAACAGCAGATCTAAAAAAGAAGAACTTGCACCATTATTCTGAGGAACTGACACCATAATCTGAAGTTTACCATAGATGCTTTAGTACATTTTGTACAGCAACCCCTACTGCCCGGTTCTATGTTCTATTAAGGTTATATTTTCCAATCAAAATGCCCTTGCACCTGTGGCTTAAACCTGTCAGCATCTCACTTACAGCGCGGAACATTATTGTCAACCCTGACTGGGTTTCTTTCGAGATGAGCCCCCCTCCCTGTCCCTGTTGCTCCCTCTCGCCTCCTCCACACCCCCTCCACCGCCATAACAGGATATTGCTCAGTGGCACAGCAGGGCTATGGTTGTACAGAGACGTGTAGGGGCAGGCCAGGGACAAAGAATAAAAAATAAAAAAATAACAAGAGGCTGGAGGAGGCTGAAGAGCGATAGGATCTCCCTTCGCACAGAGTGAGGGATTGTGTTCGCCCTGACCTGCCTCATATACAAAGATTGTATTAACAATAACTCTGCTTTGCACTACAGGAGAGGTTTTTCCAGCTGAGAGGTCTCGCTGGGAAACAACCTGACACAGGGGTGAAGAAAAGGGAGGGGTGAAAGAGAGGGAGAGCAGATGCTGAAGGGGAATGGGAAGAGGGATGCTTGATGGTCTGAGAAAGACTGACAGTTTAACAGTTGGTACTGAGATGGACATGATGAAGGGTCCTGGAGAAAAGTTTACTTATGATGTGTTGATAAGGATCCAATTCTTTAAACAAACCTTGAATCATGTACTAATAACTAAGGCCATATTCTCAAAATAGACGTTAAATTATGGATAAGATTACGTTTTAACCTGTGTAAATTCGTAGATAAACAAGTAGCAACCATTATCTTTTTCTATGTTGCTGTACTTGAGCAACGAAGATCTGCAGTAACAGACAGGAGGAGCTGAGGGAGGTCAGAAAGTTTGGGACCAAAACAGATACAGACACAAAGCTGACGGGGATTATATGCTGCATCACAAGAATGATAATAACAGAGAGGGGGCTGCTGTTAAACTCAGGTGGCTCAGTGTTTAGGTTAGCTGTGAACCCCATTAGAGCTGAGAAAGGCATTTGTTCTGCTTCAAAAGGGGGGCCAGAAAGCTTTATCAGCATCTCCCTCCCGTGTAGCTTTAATGACAAGGTCCAATGCGTACGTGTCTGCTATGAGCGCCCAAAACACTGACGCAAGACCTTTCCCTCTACCCCCGGACGGCATCAAAGTCCAAAGTGTGAGCTGTGGTGGTGCTGAGATGGAAAGCTTCCTTGGATTCCTGACCTTTGCAAGAAAAGCATGGCATTTTGTGCCGTCAACAACACATATTTGCAGGCCTTCCTGGCCTCTGCAGCCTTGGCCTATCTTTTACAGCCAGGGAGTCACATGACTGGGCCTCAATCCAAAAAGATGTGCTGTCGTACTACTGATCTCAAATGCTTTGTCATGATCTCGAACTGGAGCTCAGGATAAAGCCGATATATTACCCCCAGCACAATGAGTCAGATTGGAACAAATATGGGACAGAATCAACAGAAGGGAGACAATTCAATTTGCGACACTAAAGAGTTAATAATTCTACTGGAGCACAGGCATTTGTTGAGTGTGTTGAGAGAGTTTAAAAGGTCTTTATTATAGAAACCACCTAGTAAACACCAAGAGATTCAGCAGCTATATGTACACTAGTACACTATGTTCCATTGATGTCATGGGGTATGTGGCCCCCAAGAAGCCCATGTGAATGTTTACACCTGTTATTTTCCTCTGTGTATCCCTGGACTCATCAAAACTTTATCAACACTTTGCATTGCAGACATGAGAGACTTACTGTTGTTGGACTTGAGATCCCGGTGGATGACGGGGACGATGGCCTCACTGTGCAGGTACAACATCCCTTTGGCAATCTGCACAGCCCAGTTGACCAGGACATGCGGCGGGATGCGACGCCCCGCCAGTGCGCGGCTCAGCGGGCCACCTGAGGCATACTCCATGATGAGGCACAGGTTGGGCTCCTGCAGGCAGACACCTTTCAGGGCAATGATGTTCGGGTGCGTGAGCATGGCGAACAGACGTGCCTCCTGTCTCACATTCTGAGCTGTCACACTGATGTCCTCATCGGGGTCCTGGCGAGCTGCCTTCACGGCCACCAGCCCACCTCTCCATGTACCACGATACACTTTCCCGAAGCCCCCGACGCCAATCACCTCCTCCAGGCTCAGCTCCCGGAAATCCAGCACATCAGGTTCGAACTCGCCCACCACGGCCGGGCCAAGCTCGCTGACCACGCCGCTACCTGGAAGTTTCCCGAATCCACTTGGCTTGAAGGAGCCATAGTTGGATGGGAAGATGCCCACCTTGTTGTTGACCTTACCCGCCCACCAGCCCTCATCCCCTGATATCTCAGAGTCCAGAGAGAGAACTTCCACCAGGTCACCTTTACGCAAGGTGAGCTCATCTTTACAGGACGCCTCATAGTCAAATAAGGCAGTCCACACGGGATTGGTGAAGTTCCCTTTTTGTGATTGATCCAAATTTTTCCAGTTTGACAGTGGGCCACGGCTGAATATGTTCTTCAGTGGCTCCATGGAGCCTCAAGCAGATGTTTTGACTGGATCAGATTTTGCACCCCAAGGGGTTGAAAATAAAGTACAAAGGAGTACTTTATTGAACCTCGCTCCCTTTCCTGTCTTTCTTGTTGGTTCATCAGGGACCAGTGAAATGTTTTCAAACGCTTGACCGACAAGTGGGCTGCAGGAGAGGAGTCAGAGTTTACTGAACAGCAAGTGTCTTTCATTCGTCTTCACGTGAGATGCAAACCTCTACATTTGAAAATGCAGAACCAGCCGGGAGACCGCTCTTGTTTTCTCGAAGTGGATCAAAGCTCAGAAAGGCAGCACTGTCGCCACTGGATTTCTCTCTGCGTGAGTGATGTGGTGTGTGGTTTCCCCAACACATGGTTTGAGCACAATATCATTTCACCGGCCTGTACTTGAGAGGTTTCTGAATCACCTCACTATGGGCATATAAACCACTGTCGCGTCCCTCATTCAAAATTGCCACCTGTTGACTTGAGATTATGAGGACCGAAAATATCAAGACTAAAATAAAGTAGCCCAATGCTTGTTGGGGAGTACTTAGATTGCTGCAACTCCAGATTAAGATTCCCACAGCGTCGGGTTGTCCATTTTGAGTTTTAAGTATTTTTAGCCATTAAGTGCAGTGGCCACCACAAGCAGGAAGCGCTGAGAAGCAGAGAAGAATAGCAGGAAAGGAGCATTCAGTCCGGCCAACCAGAGTTTTACGACAACTTTCAGGGCCAGTTCGCATTAAGCCCAAACCTCCAATAACCGCGTCTGGCCGCAACTTTTCTGCGCTCCCGCAGGAAATCCCGCATCCCAGTGCGCCTGAGTATCCATGATTACAAGGAAGCACGCAGAGAGCTGCGCCTTTATAGCAACATTAAAAAAAAAAAAAAAAGTTGTTTCGTTCAGTAACAGGAAGAGCGAATCAAACCTGCTCGGCTTCCCAGGGAGCAGCGCGCAGGAGAGACAAAACTGATTCCGTTAGTTCCTCGTTGAAGTTGAGCGCGTGGCCTGGTGCTGCCCGGTGGCCCCCGGTGTCACGGTCGGTGTTTCACCGGAACTGCGGCTCCATCACCGCCTCTCTTCACGCTCCTCTTCCTCGGTTGGCGCTCACTCGTCAGGACCTCGAACCACTCGTACGTGTGCGTTGACAGTCCGCGCGGAGGGTGGGGTTTCTAAACTTCTTCTCTCCCGACAGGAAAGGAGTCAGATGACAGGCCGCGGTCAAGCCGGACACAATTCAGCGGTGCCACTTCCGGTTGTCGCTATCAACGTAAAAGCGAGCTAATGAGCAGCTTCGTTTTGAGTGACAGGCGAATATTTATTTAACTTTTCTTTTGCTTTTTTGCTGTGGACCCATTAAACAGTAGCTCACACAACAACTTTACAGCTTCATTAATTAAACTGAACCCATGAAATCAAACCCCCCTGCACATGTTGCAAGAAAAGTACATCGTAAGAGGAAGATCACAAATAAAATGACCCTTATACTTTATTTACAGGCTCTGTGTGTATTTTTGGCCTTTGCAATAAAATGATGGAAGGCAAGAATGTGATTCAAGCATCCTCTTTTTTACTCTTACATACTGTTCATATTTTTAATTTTGAACTACAGATCAATTTGGAATGTATGAATAGCCATTAGTAAAGATAAGATAAGATAATCCTTTATTAGTCCCACATTGGGAAAATACAACAGCAAGAGTCAAAATAGTCACCAAGTAGTAAGTAACATAAAAAAAAAATAATATGAATGGAATTGAACTAGTATATACAGGGAGAGAGACTTTAGGTCTCACACCAACACATCTACCATCACACAGTATCCTGTTTTACCTATAGGACATGAAACATAACAGGCAGAATGAAAATAATACGAAAAAGCTCCACGTGCACAAAATAGCCAAAAGTAAAATAACAAATCTATTTAAATTGTTAATTATAGTCAGGTGTTGAATTATCTTATTGTGTACATATATAAATATATGTATTTATGGGAGTTTGATTCTGAGTTCGTAATTTTACTTTGTTTTCATGGTTACTGGCAGCACAAGCTTGAAGTAAAAAAAAATAATAGCAGAATTCTGGAGGAAGCAGAGGAAGGAGATGAAAGTTTTCCAACAGTTACCAGGCTGTCGTAGTGTTGAGGTGAGCAGGACAATAGTTTTTATGTAATTATTTTAGATAGAAATGTTTTAACCTAGCTCTTATTTTGAAATTCACCCCAGAAGTTCTTTTTGTCTACTATGGATGACTTACATTAATGATAGCAGGTGCAAAACCAATAATGTCTACTAAACAAAATTAATTTCCTGTTCGAGCTGTAGATTGTATGTACAGTTTCCTTCAGATAACATAGCTGACAACATGTAACTACTGTACATTTCAACGGTGTCACTGAAGAGTGGTGTTAATGTTTAGCATATACATATACTTAAGCATACTGTGCCGTATATTTATTCACTGTTTAAGCACTTCTGGTTGGATGCAAACTGCATTTCGTTGCTTTGTACTTGTGACATGTGCAGTGACAATAAAGTTGAATCTAATCTAATCTAATGAGAGTGTACGCTCTCTCATTAAAGTCTATTCTGTATATAAATGTACGTATGGTTATTTTAAATACATGTTATATGTTCTTTAGTGCTTTACACCCTGATTGATTCTTTTCACTCATCTGCTGCTACAATACAACAGTATGTTTTAGTGTTTTCCTGTGGAATCAGTTGAAATATTACACTCTAGTGAGACTACGTTCTCAAGGACAATAGTTCATTAAAATTCCCCCCATAGCCACAGAGCAGAGGACAAAGTGCTGCTGTTGGGTTTCTTTGAGGAGAAATTTGTTGAAGATTTTCTTTTGTCTGGTGTCACTTTGAACACAAAAAGGGAGTTTGAAGCCTCTCTTAAAGCAACACATTTAAAAGGCCTCAGCATGTGGCTGGTTTCACATACTTTATGCAGTTTGATGGAGGCAACTTACCCGACTGAGCTGGAGGAGCCTCCTCTGAAACCTCACTCGAGTAGGTTTACATTTACCGCTGTAAAATTCTACATTAGATAAAGTGAAATATAGTTTTAGTCCAAAGAGAATACCCTTACTCTCGCTTTCATCTTCATGTAGCAAAATAGTTCAGCAAAGTCGTGCAAACCATTGCTTCAGCGATGTAAAGTTATTTAAACAGAATCTAATATTCAAACAAACCACAGTCTGTAATCTAATGTAAATTTGTATAAAATGTTCTCCAAATGTTTCATCTTCAGATCGGACTTATAGCTTTTACTTCATGTCTTTCTATGGAAGACAATTTCTGCTCAGTAAAACATTTAGAAAAAATGGGTAAACCTTCTACTACTCATGACAAAATGAATAGATACTAAGTCAAAATAGTGGAAATCTCTCAACTAACTAAGTATCTTACTGAGTCAAATCAATAAACTGCATATAAAGATGGATGACATGTCTCCACTTCCTCCCGACATACAGAAATGAAGCCAGTTTATCCTGGATATGAATGCTGCCAATTTAGTTGTGTTGTTGAGGTCCCTGAGTGAGCGATGAGATGTTTGAGTGATGCAAACAAAAAAATAACTTGTGTATATTCATCTTCTTCTACTCCACTGTCTTCAAGCTTCTCTCTCTAACAGCCACAATTACTTTGCAGTTTCAGATTTCACAATTCAGACAAATCAGACACATTCCAGGTCTATAAATGAAATCAAAATGACAACTTGCTAAGAATTTATATTTTCTATGGTTTTTACACTTTGTGCTGAACAAGGAAGAAATTTATAAATACGGTCGATGATGTGTGGCTTTTATCAAAGCTGCAGAGGCAACAGTAAACAAGGAATGACTTCAGTGTGCACATTTCTGAATCATTTCTGGATGTTGGACATATAATTGGCCCCTCTGTGTAAACTGTGGCCCCTTCACGGCCCCTGGTTTAGGACAATCACAGATCCGCCCCTGTAACACTTTGATATTTAAACTGCATCTTGTAGATAGTACTTTCATTGTTTTACATGTAATGGAAAATCCTGCTACTTGAGCAAACGATCTCTGATTGTTATCTCAATTCTCAGCAGCTCATATCTGCTTTGTCCTCTGTGCTTTCAGGCCGTGTGTTTAAAATTAAATCAAGTTTGCCCCCCCCCCCCCCCCACAGAACTGGAAATAAGAAAAAAACCAGTACAGATCAGAGAGTGTGTTAGAGAGATGGTTCCCACTGTTCCCTGTGATCAAGGCCACAGTCTGAAACACAAGGTGCATTTTAAACACAGGTTTTTTCAATTGGCTGCACATGTGAAAGGATTTTATCCTCGCAAAGGTCGGGGAATTCCTCTTTTTGCCACATTTTCCCATGTTTTGAAAAGTAACAGAGCAGTGCAGAGTGACTCAGTGGCTTCGCGGGAGGGAGGGGCTGGGAATCACAGGGCCACCTCTGGCCCCCGCCGGCTGCTGTGTGGAAACAGTGTGTTTCCTCCTGCCAGCTCTTTGATGGCTCTCCTTCCCCTCCCCTGCTTCCCTGCTTCATGGCTGCAGCTTGTTTGGACACCGACCTCCTAAAGTCAACCACCTAAGACCCACTCCCCATACACACACACACACACACAACCACATCAAACCCCACCCTCCTCACAGTCCGCTGAGTCAACGCTTGTGCAGGAAGGATACAGTTGTTTATGCGGCCATGTCTCTGTGTTGCTTTGTCAGTTGGGTGGGGGTGGAAGGGGCGGCTGCATTTACACAGCAAAAGTAAAACAAGTAAAGAGGGCAGGAGGAGGAGTAAAGAGGCTGGACACACACACACACTCACACACGTCCCTGTGATGGTGACAATCACCTTTTACAAACTTGTAGTGTCTTGTGCTTATCTGATTCAAATGCCAACAGAAGACCGAGGACAAACAGCTCTTGTCTTTCAGGTTGTATGAGTCATGGGCCAGTAAATCAACACAAGATGCGTCCACAAGGAAACTTTTCAATATTGCAACACACACAAAGTTAAAAAAAAAAAAGCCAAAGGAGCAAAGAAGCTACAGCATTGAGAGAAACCACCTTGAAGCATTTTGAGTAAAGATACAGCAGAAGTCGGGCTCTGCTCCTCCACCTGCTGAACAAAAAGGTAAACGCTGTTGCTGATTTGTTAGAGTGAGGAAGCATCTCACGCTACTCATCTCCCCAACATGGAAAACACAACAAACCCTTATTTTTTTTTTTTTTTTTAATTGAAATATGAACTTTATTTCACCCATACAAAATAAAAAGAATGTTAAAAGTTTACAATACAGTGTCCATGTCTATCTGGAAACATTTCATATCGAGACCGACATATAAATGGGAGCCCCGTCTCTGCTTTACATCTAAAACAATCTAAGATAAAGGAGAAAATGACTGGAGGGGTGGCCAGAGGAGAAATTAAGAGGGGACGAACAACTTTAAAAACAAAGTCATGGTTCTTTAATCTTCTGATGGGCGATTCAGGGGGAATTTAATGGTCGTATAAAACAATACAGGAGCTCGAAATGCCTTACAGCATCAAAAACAACAATGTAAATCATTAACCTGCTGATATGGTCGTCTCCAGGGCTGTGGTCATGAAGGTTTACAGTCCTCTTGATAAAAAACATGAATTAAAAATAGAAACTAATTCAAAAAAAGCTGCAAATTGCTAAACTATAGTAAAAATACACCTGCGTCCTCGTTTGTGTTACAGTTTGATCATTTAACTGACTTGTTGAGGAAAAGCACGAAGAGTAATAATTCATAGCCAATCAATAATACAATATATAGACTATGACCTCCATTTCCCTTCGACAAGTGCTGATCACCTTCCACAATCTTTACAAGCTCTTGTCCTGAATTCCTCTCTATTATTCGCCTTTGCATGAGCATTGAAGGCTGAATTCAAGCTTTAACAACCAATTACTGATTTTCTTTTAAGCCAACCTGAGGGTTTGCATGACGACTGATACGTTCCCTTCATCATGTCTATTACACAGGATTAAGGAAGAAAGGAAAGTGCCAAAAGAAAAAGCTACGAGGCAACACAAACCACACCTATCCTGTCTGCCGGGGGCTTATGGCGAAAACAGCGACGACTGCCATTTTTAATAGTCAAAATAGAACGACTGACTTGTTAAAAAACATCTTTGTTGAACTCTCGTCTACAATAAAATAAAACCCTTTTTTTTTTTTTAAAAAGAAAAAGAAAAAAGAAAATTAAAACACATTATACAACCAGTTTTCTGTTTCCTGTGGCGGAGTCTCTTTCAGCCGGCTGTCGAGGGGTTTTCTGCCAGCAGGCTGTTATGAAGAGTCTTTCCCTCCTCTGTTTAGAGCGTCCGCCGCAACAACTCAAGAGATCGAAAATAAAGCTGAAAGTGTATGTGTTTGTGTGTGTGTGTGTGTGTGAGAATGATTGGTGGAGGAGGTGGGCAGACGGAGCTAAGAGTCATAGTCTTCATCGTCGTCATCCTCGTTTTTGTGCGGCGCGGGGGCTGGCGGAGGCAGTGCAGCGCTCATCATGGAGGGGTGCGGGGCGAAGGCCATGGTGCCCTGGGGCTGTGCTGGTGCCATGCTGCCTGCTGAGACCATGTTGCCCATGTGCGTGTACTGGGGGGGCGCATTGGAGCTGCGGGGGCACAGGTAGACGTGTGAGAGATCAGAGATGTAGTATCACAAAGTGCACTTTTTTTTATTTATACAATATCATAGTAACACAGTCCCTACCTGTGGAACCTGGCTGCAGCCTGTAGATTTGTGCTGGACTGAGAGCCGTCCTCCTCGTCCCCCTCTGTCTCGCTGTCTTCAGAGTCATCCTGCATCGATCACGAGGAACACAACAATGAGCCACCTCTCAACAAATCTTTCAAACTGCAGATAGTTATTGACCTCTGGCAGATAGTTTTGGCATGCAGACCCAGCTCCCACCTCTTGCTCTGACTCGGTGCCAGACAACTTCTTGTCCTTGCCTTTGGAGCCGACCCCTCCATTCTTGCGTCCAGTTCCTGGTTTTCGACCCCTGGGAGTGAAATAATGTATATAAGTTATATAATGACACATAAAACAGTTTCATGCATTCATTCATTAATGGCCAATTCCTCTGTTGATTGTGAATTGATACTGCACACATTAAAAAACTTCACATTTTGGGAATAAACATGTATTTTGTCACAAAACACCACAGCTACACACGTCTTAGCAGCTCATAAAACAAATTAAAAATTAGAAAGTCAATTTGCAGCATAAATCTGCAAGACAGTTAATGCCAAAATGAAACATTAAAATCACTGAAGATAATTTCAAAGCAGAGAATACTGTGACCAAGACTGCTGATGGAAATTCGTTTGAGCCATTTATATTCAAAAGATACCGTGACTCCACAGGCCTCATCCTCAAAGCAGAGGCAAAATGTCTCAATATTAGCAGTTTGCACTCCACTTTAAATTAATCTGAATGTATCAGCCACACTGTTTAGTGAAAAGAAGACTTCTTGCTCATTTATTATGTGTGTGATTCTCTGCCAGACTCTGCTTCAATTTAGGGGCAATGGCGGCCTTTGATTTGACAGTCAATACTGCTCTCTCTTGTCTCCAATCCTCCGTCATTAGTTCTCGCTCTGTGGAGATGAATAAATGTGCCCTTTCTTTTCTTCTGCTGCTGTTGTTAATCTTGCGTATGAAAATAAACTGGGAAAAGTAATAAGGTAAGAGTGCAAAGATGACGAACAATACTCGAATCAATTTCATTTTACAGGAGAAGCTGTTTCATGAAGAGGTAAGAGGCTTTGAGTGCATGTGAAGATGGCTCTCCTGTTTCTGATTCATTACTTTGTAATGTAATAGTTTGAGTGCATGAACCTATCAGAGACGACAGAATGACAAGTTGATTAATCAAGAGATAAACCGGGTTAATAAGTCAAACTTAGCAGCATAAAGATACAGTGACTTTGTATGGAAAATTAAGATTTGAGTAGTATCAACCTTTGACTGGTAGTCAAATGTGTTTGGGGTCCAGGTATTCCTCATGTTGTGGGGATATAAACCGTCTCAATATGAGGGCTTGTCTTCCTTATGGGGACAAAAATCATGTCCTCATTACGTAAATGATTACATTTCAAGGTGAAGACCTGTTTTAAGGTTAGGGTAAGGGCTAGGTTTGAGTTGAAATGCAGCACACTTTAGTTTTCCGACATGACCTCTGGAGGATGTCCGGAGAGTCGGGTCCAGAATTTCTGAGGAGGTTGCCTTTTACAAATGCACAACGCAGCAGGAGATCCTCTGCTCAGACAGGTTATCAACAACTCTGAACTCCTCAGAGCATTTAGGTGAGGGGTGGTGCAGCAGGCAGAGCGGGACATTTTTGCAGGACATCGACCAGATCAGCGTTGGCTCACCAAAAGCTTTTTGACATCTTTGTGTCCTCCAAGTGTATGGCAACAGTTTTTCATGCAGAGAATTTTTTTTGTTTTGTTCCTTTCCTTTTGGCTTCTGTCGTGTGTTAGAAACACCATCAACACCCCCACTCACATTCGATGAATCCTGTGGACGATCTCCTGCTGTGTTCTCACATCGGCTCCTCCGCACTTTCTGCGGACTTTATAGTAGGGGGGCTGGCCTAAGTCTGCAGGCTCTCCCTCACGGACATTTGTGTTCACACATACAGTCCCTCCAGAGAAAATCCGGAAGATCTACAGAGTTCAGTGCATGTCTGTTAGCAGCTTTAATGAGTGCTACAAGAGGTATCGGCACATTGGAGCCATGGCTATTAAAAATAATGATTAACTCCTTTTTGGAAAACGGAATTGATTAATTCAAAAGCCCATCATAACAAATTATTTTTGTGTAATAAAATAAGGTTTAACAGGACCGATGACAGAATTGGGGCAGCGGGAGCTCCAGCCTTATATTTAAAATTTTAGGGCGACATGGTCTCTCCTCCGACAGTAAAATGAAACGATCCCTGCAAATGTTAACATGACCTTAAAATAGCTTGAATAATAAATAATAGTTAATAAATGTGAGTGTTAGTGTGTGTGTGTGAGAGCGAGAGATACCTGCGGGAAACTTTTTCTCCTCCCCCCTCAGTGTGGTTCTCTTCCCCCTCGCCCTGCATGTCTGGCACTGTTGCCACCAGGTCTTTCAGGAAATCAAACTGTTGCTCCAGTTCAATACACTGTTTTCTGTGAACAACACAAACACACACCCTGTTCCGTCAGACCTCTGCCTTCTCTACACTTAAAACTCATTTAGTGGGCAAAATGTCAGCCTCATATCAAATTTGAAAAGGAGATCAAATGGGATTAAATATTCATTCCAGCAACATGAAGGAGTAAGACTATCATGTCACTCATGGCCATAAATACTTTCAGATACAGCACAAGGGATTTGATGAGGCAGTTTGTTGCAAATCCACTCAGCAGCACTGTCTATGGCGAGATCCACACTTCAGATTCTAAATCACACTAATACATCACTTCTGATACGTTGACATGTGACCGCCACAATACTTTGGAGTTTTTCAGCCAATTAGACTGAGACTTGATGACAAGTCTCGGTGACACTAAGTATCCTTCTCTGATACGTCACACTCCTACCATGTGATATTTTTTCCGAAAGAAAACAAACAGCATCTGCCTCGGCTACTTGGGGTGAATGCAACATGGATAACGAATTACAAGCGTTCCTGTCTTTGCTGGCAGCTGTTGTGCAGAAAAATTGAGTTAGTTTCCAGATTTGCCAGTCTGGTCCAGTTTAGGAGCTATACAGGGTTGGGTTCATACCAACTGAAACAACTTATTATTATGACAACACAACAGCTCTGAATCCAACTTGTATTGCATTAGTAAAAAGCAATATGACAACATGATTAAATTCCATGTTCTTTTTTACGACCCTTAGAATCACTAGTTTCTGAGGAGTTGTGTGAAATCTTCTGAGAGGCAACATGAAGGAGACCAAATTTCAGCAGAGGCACTGGGAACACATACAGCACATGATGTGTCACACTTAGTCTCAAAGATAACTAAAAAAGGTCCTGCAGCATTTCAGATTTAACGCCGACAAGGTTTAATGGTTGTTTTGACAAATAAAAAACAGTTTGTGTCACTCAGTTGTCCAGTGAAAGTATTGCTGCTTCAGGGAACGGTCACACATACACAAACGCATGTGAATAACATGGATCGAAGTTCGCCGAAGTTAAACTCAACATGAAAACATGCTGCAGATTTTCTTTGCTACAGGAAGCAAATATAATTTCACTCCTCGCTTGTACAGATAGGGAATTGAAGGGGAGGTGATGGTTCGTTACTTCTACATTTGTGTGTGTGCTTGTGCCCTCACTCTCTGCTGCTTCTTCTTATCTTGTGTTTATTGGCAGTAGACAAACACACTTAGAGGTGCATTATTGCCACCAAGTGGCCTAGAGTTGTTGCTGCCTCATTTATGGACTTGCAGTCTCCTCGGGCTAAGTCTACTCCGGAGTTTCTACTGAATCAAGAGCAACATCTAGTAATAGAACTGGGGATACTGATCGAGTGTTTAGCTTAATACCAAACTGGTTTGAGATTGTTTTTCACTTGCCTCAATGTGATTTGGCCTGTGTTGTGCTTTAACTCCTACATAGGCAGGAGGAAAGCAATTATTGGAGCGTCCTGAGACCATTTTTGTTATAAAATTAAAACATATTAATTGATCCCTAAGTAGCACTAGCCTTGCAGGTATTCCCACAATATGCAATGTATTATATGTGGAATATGGCGCCTAGAAATGTCTGCCAAAAGAAAATAAAAGACTAAGCACCTTTCTGCGACATGCAACTTTAACATAATGCCCACAAATTGTCCAACAACGTGAATTCACATATAAGGTGTGTAAGAGAGAATGAAATGTGCGGAGGATGTCTTAGAAATCCAAAGTACAACACCGGCAGAAGGAAAAACACAACTACAGAAACACAGGAACTTACAGATGTGACGTTGTCATCGTCTTTGCATTCCTAGACTGGGTGACTTGACAGGCCTTTGTGAGCAACGATTCCAAAAAAAGCTCCAGGGCTCTCGCTGACGTCCACGTTAAGGAAAGTATGATACAGCAGATCCGTGTCCATCATTACAATAAAAACATTTCGCTTACATGGCCTGGCTTGCACTGAGGCTGAGAATGAATATTGTTGATGAACAATTTCACTTACTACTGCTTATGCCTGTTTTTTGAAATAGTGCTATGTAGTGCAAATCCACAAATTTGTCAGATGGGGGAGAACAATGTTATTTCAATCATCATTTAATATATAATTTATTAAAAAGGTATTTAATTAACTGAGGGGAAAATGCCCATCATATGCTTCCAGAGCAAACGGTGAGGTCACAGAAAAACAACATCATATGTTCAGCTTTTCTCTTTCAAATTTCAGTTTGGGAATTCAAATAGTTCAGCTTCAAGTCAAACAATTAGTCTGAGGTCTCTGGAAGGAATGAATGAGTTCAGAACACATCATTCTGCATTCGACCACTCAGTGACGATCACAGATGATCAAGATCATGGAGCTGTGGAGATATCTGGCAGGAAGGATACAAATTATAACGGGGACTGCTGCGGCCACCTTTCCTATTTCTTCATCTGTCTGCATAATCTTCTTAATCCTCGCCTGTAATGACAAAAAAGGGTTGACCGTTAAACGTGTGTACACAATGAGTCAATGCGAGGGAACACTGTGACACAACAAAGCTTTCTCGTTGCAGTTACACACTGAAAGCAACTTTCTCACCCCAAACCCATTTCACTAAAATGTTAGCAAGATACAGTACAGCACAAGTTTGAATTTAGATCAACAGTGGTGTTTCACAGCCTGCACGTTCAAAACATGTATTCCATGCTTGTTGATCACATCCACTCTCGTACGTGCCCCGTGGGGATCTCCCAAGTTTGCTCAATGTGCAGCTCCAACAGAAAACAGCTGATTTGCTCTGATTCGTTATCGTCCAGTTTCATTTAGCTTGCCATGCTAAAAACAAACTAACATAATTAGTGGGGTCGCTAGCTAGCTAACGTAGCCCCCCTTTAATGAACCGTAGTAAACACTGGGGAGCAAATCAACCCAGAGAAGCTCTTTTAATGAAATGTAAAGTCTCAATAGCACATTTTACACTGAGTAGTAAAGTTCTTGTGTTCACTGGCTGACTTTTTTTTAGCTCTACAGGCCAAATCCTTCTCAAGCTAGCTAGCTAGAGGAGAATTTAGCATTATTCACACCAGTTTGCTAAAGCTAGCTAATCTTTACGCCGGTTCGGCGAAGTTCAAACTTACCGGGGGGAATCTGGCGTTGTATTTCTTCTTTTTGCTGGGCATAGTTAAATCGCGTGGAAGGCCGACCTCAAGTAAAACGTGCTATATTCTGGATTTTTACTCTATATCATGTGTAAATCGCCTCCTCCGTGCACACACACACCAGATAGCGGTGGCTAGCCGGCTAACACGTTAGCACGTCGTCGTCACTCGTCGCCTGCTGCCCTGGCGCTTCAGCTCGGCTCCGCGGGGTCCCAGCGCCGTCGAGTTGGAGCACGCGAGGACTATAAAGTTAAGGTATTGTTGATCGTGATTAATAATGTGAGGATGACACTTGATAGCTATACAATATAATCAATAATATCGAACCAATACATGATCGGTGGATGTACACAAACCCCCGAGCCCCCCGGTGTAAAACTACAAGATTTAATTCAGTACTTTATATGCTTACATTGGTAAATAAAACCATAGTTTCAGCAAGAATTTAGCCTTGATGATAACGTGAAGTTGCTACTTGATCTTTTCTTTATCAAAAGATAAATTCCGATATCCATGAATTGATGTTAAAGTGGAGTTTGTCATATCCATCTTTGATCCAGAGCGGACTATCATCTGCGGTGCGCGTGTGCGGAAGAACAACACTGGACAACAAACTTCAACATCTGCCGGTGGGTAGAGCTTTAATACAAAAACTATTTCAAAGAAGTGTTAATGCACGATCATCTCATCTGCCCCAAAGCAAATCTGTGCTTACTAATGTTATTTGGAACACTCGACTGTGATTAATTCTTTATCCAAGAAGACGAGAATGAACGATTGCTAAAACGGATAACCAGCTTGCTAGCTACAATGAAACTAGATACACGTGAAAAGAAATGTTTATTTCTGTGTGGGTTTATCGCGTGTCCGCTGTGGCGGGTACACACACGAAATGGTTAACAAGTCATTTTAATGCGGAAGTGAGTTTGGGGTGGACAAATGTTAGGCGTGGAACAAGGAACAAGTAGCATGCTAGCTAGCAGCACTACTAACCACCCGCGAGCTACAACAGCTGACCACCTGTGTTTGGGTTCGAACCAACACAGGGGCTGCAGATGTGGTTCAATGATTAACGCACGACTGCACATATTCCCACAGGACGAGCTTCTCACACTGACGGCGTCATGGAGGAGGAAGAGGCCCCGGTTGAAGGCGAGGTGGAGACCCCCTTTGCCGCGGAGACCTACGCCGCTGAGGCCATGGCTGCAGACATGGACCCCTGGATTGTGTTCGACTCCAGAAGAACACCCAGGTCCGAGTTCGACGGCTGGCTGGAGAGCAACAGGCCCTCGCAAGTGTACAGATTCGGCGACGAGGAAGGGGGTGGACGCCCTGTGGGGTGGATCGCCGTGCTGGGCCCGAACTACTCCCCCAGTGTTGGTGATGTGATGGGTCTCCAGGAGAGCTGGGAGAAACTGTTGGGCAGTGGCCGCTCTGTCTCCTTCCAGGCAGTGAAGGAGCTGGCCCTGAACCACGGGGTGCTCTCAGGCAAGTGGCTAATGCACTTGGAATCTGGTTTTAAGATGGACCACGCGTGGGAGTGTGTGGCCAGAGCAGCCCTGGATGGCAAGATCTCCCAGGTTAAAGTCAGTTCCTTCGATCCCAAGGGAGAGGGCAAGCAGGTCATATGTGCCTATAACCAAAACTTCACTGATGAGAGCGAGGTTATAAGGCTGGACTCTGCCATTCGTGCCACAGGGGTCAAATGCGCTCTAACCTACAAGCCAGACGCGTACACACACCTGGGAATCTACCGCAGCAACCGCTGGAAGCTCTGCCCCACCATTTACGAGAGCAAATTTGACCTGGAGTGCGTACCAAGGCGCTCCCACATCATCAATAAAGTCACCAATCTTGAAGTGACATGAGCCGGTCTGAACAAGAGGGTTAGTTTTGCAGGACGGGTAAATGAAAAGCCACTTAAAGATCTCATGAGATGGGTTGGATAGTACCACACTGATTTTTATCATGGAGTCAGTGGTTGAATTTTGATCTCAAGTTCTTCCTTTTTGCAAAAAAGGCACTAAATCTCATTTGTTTTGTCTTCTCATGCTGTAATACATTCTAAGTGACCTGAAATGTCGTCACATTTTTTGTATTGAATATATTGTATTCATAAGTAAGAATATTTGTATTCTTCAGGTTCTGTTTAGAAGTTCTTGATTTGTACTGATATATGTTCAGGGGGAAATAAATGCATCAGATGAAGCATTTCTTTATGACAATATACATCTCATTTATTTTTTTCTTACAGAGTTGCCAAATAAAAAAAAATACTTTCGAAAAAACCACATGTATGTGCTGTTTTTATCGTCATGTAAAATGTTTTATGATTTGGACAGAATTACTCATTTATGACAGCAAAAAACTTCAAAGTACAATCCTGCTTACATCATACTAGTATAAAGCTGCCTAATTCCATCTCGATAAAGCAAGTTTAACTGTAGAGTAAAGCAAGTTGAACTGTAGGTGTGAAATTATCATATTCAGACAATAACTAGAAAAACTGATGAGAGCAGAGGAAGCCAAGCTCTGGATGAGATCAGAGCATAAAGCTTGAATCTCTTAAGCTTCTGTGCTATAAGCGTGTAATCGTTAATGTTCCTTTTTTGATTAATTACTTACATATACGCCTTCATTTGCCTTGTAAAACTCTGAACAAAGGCATCTGTATAGAGACAGTGGTGTTACAGCTGCTGCTGACCTTCAGGAAAAAATATGTCAAGTTAAAAAAGCACTACATGGACATACTTAATTAAAAGACAGAGACATAATTTGCATAGACTGGATTCTATACTTGATTAAAGTCTTAATGAGATACACCGGCTGCTGTGTTTAAGAAAAGGCAGACTACACATTTCAGTTAAAGACAGCGATCAACACATTTACACTGACCACAGCTACCAGGGTTGTTACAGGAACAGCAAAATTTAAAACAACAAAACATGCTTAACATGTTTCACAGAAAATATCCTTTGAACATTTGAACAGACACCTACAGTATCTGATTGTCTTGCTAAAACCAACATTTGTCGGTGGGTAAATCGTCCACTGTCACGCGGACGCAGGCAGAAAAAGTTAATGACGATGCTAAACATAGGCTTCATAAGGGCAAGGAAATCTGATTATGCTCTGTCCTGTGTTTTATCTTTATATTTCATTATATAAAACATGCTGATTGAACACCATCAAAAGTCCTTACTGGTATTTCAACAAGCACATCCGCAGTGAGCAATTTGCTACATTCTGTCTGCTCCAGCCCTTCATATCCACCTTGTTTCCTTTATGTGTTCAGTAACAGCAAAGGACTTCTAGTTCTGAAGGTTAAATGGGCAGTACACGTGGTCTTTTTAAGTGTGTCCGTTAAAACAATCATGTGGACAAGCTTTAACTGGGGTGTCCTGAGACAAACCCAACATGGCTTTCGCTGTTGAGAATGGAAATAAGACGATCCTCGTCAGCGGACATCAACTCATCAAACTCATCCAGTACAGGAGCTTGGTGGTGGATGTTGTTGGATGCAACAATAGAGCTCTCGTTCTGGAGCAAGGTGACGATGCTGTTGGGGTAATTCATCCAAGTGCTTCCTGGGTTGCTGGCGGGGTCGGAAGTGTTCTGGGAAACAGTGGAGGAGCTGGAAGAGGCAGCCTGTTGGCATGAACCCTGAGCCAACATCGAGGTGCAATTTCCACTCTCGCTCATGAGGCGGGGGTTCAGAAGGTCCACAAAGTCATCCATGTTTAGGCTGTCCAGGGTGCCTTGGGCCTGAGCTTCAGAAAAGCTAGGGAACTCTGGGATATCATCATCCAGTGGTGCGTCCACACGGAAATGAGAGCTCTGGAGGTTGAAGGTGCTGCTGGCCTGGGAGGATGGTGTGCTACCCAGAGAAGCGGAAGGCTCCTGGGCCATGGCGGAGGAAATGTTGGGAAAGAATTCATGCAGATCAGACAGGTTGACGGTTGAGTAGTCTGGGTTGGCAGCGGAGGTGGTGGTAGAGGTGGAGGAGGAGGAAGATGGTGGCTGGCTCATTGAGAAGTTGGCCACTGGTGTGGCTTTGGGCTGGTTGCCCAGGCTCAGGCTCTCCATGATCTTCCATGTTTGGCTTGTAGTCACAGCTGAGATGGAGGATGAGGCCTCTACCTTGGGCTGGACTGAGAAGAGCCGACCCGGCTGATTGAATGAGTAGGAGGGCTGAGATTTCCCTGCACTGGCACCAGGTAGCACCACAGCTGCTAAATACACACATCAGACAAACAAGCAATTTTAATTCCAAATCATCAGCATTTAGAGGTGTGTAGAATGTAGTGACATCTAGTGGTGAATATCCCTCATCTCACCCCCCCCCCCTCCAAACATGAAAGAGAACCTGTGGTAGCCTTTAGTTGTCATAAAAACTCAGAAGGTTTTTAGTTTGTCCAGTTTGGCCGACTGTAAAAAAACACGATGGCCTCTGTAGACAAGACCCGCTCCAGATGTAAATATAAAGTATTTAAATATAAAGGGCCCATTCCAGGGTAAAGAAAACAAGTTATACAATTTAAATGAAAGATACTAGTGAACACATCACCAGGATTATTTCATATTCAATTTCTGCCAATAGATCCCCTTCACCTAAATGTTACACACTGAACCTTTAAGGTTTAGCAATGTTTTCTGAAACAAATGATTATCAAAATAATTGCCAATTCATTTTGTCGATTAACTCAACTTTTATCACTATTTAAATCAGAGTGGACCCTCAACCCCTCTCGGGGATTCAAGCATCATCATATGTGATGTGAACAAATTCAACAGACTCACCAACTTGCGCGTTCATAGACGGAGGCTTGGCTGTGACTGTTCTCCGTGCTGTGCTTATGTGCCGTCTATCTTGTGAAATGGACACTGAAATTTGAACAGACATGATTATATTACACTGCGACACACACACACACACAGTTACCTTTTTATATTATTGCAGACTGACAGAAAACAAATCGATGGCGTCCGAGGCGTGTCACACAGGCCCATTAAGGAAAAACGTGAATGCAAAAGCTATGCACCAAAGACACAGGCAGATTCAAAATGAGGGACAATGGATGTTGACAATGAAACGAGCAGAGTTACTTTTTGCTGTCGAGTGAGTCATTGTTTGTGGAAAACCAGTCAAGCTGGCTGCTGCCTAAAATGTAATCCTTTTCTATTTGATCTGTTACAGATTTTTGGAGCACCCTAAAGAAGAACGCACTTGTACACCAACACTTAAGATAGACAAGCATCCGTTTTCCCTCAATTCCGTGGTTGTGCTTGAGTTGTTTGGCTTGTGTAGTTGTTTCATTTTTGCATTCATGTTTTCCATTAATGACTTTGTGTCTCGGCCACTGAAGAAATCTCATCAACATACCACTCGACAACATGGGTCCCAGCTTCAGGCTCTGGAACATGTCTCCTGTGCGCTTCCTCTTCTCACTCAGTCTGTATTCATCTACAAGAGTCATTTAAAAAAAAAAAAAAAGCAGTTATAAGACACAGGTTGGTTCAACCTTAAGGTATCACACACGAGCATGAGAACACTGTTTCCTACCTGGGTCAGAAGGCAAGTACTGGAAGTCCATTGGCTCGCTGACCTCGCGATCAGAGGGCCGGCGGAGCTGCATCTTCACTCTGATGGGCTCGGTGAGATTAGTGTCGCGAAAGGGAGGCGTGCGGAACACGATGGCCACCTGCCTGTGGACGTCGGCTTGGGAGAAAGTGCCCTTTCCCTCCCAAGAGTCCTGGAAGAAACGCACCTCGATGTCCTCTATGAGGAGAGCAGAAAGGAAAACATGTGACGGATGCAATTAAAAATATAAAGAGAATACAAATATCTCAAGATGAAAATGAGGAGCCATACACGTAGAAGAGGAAGACGCTGGTGTCCATTTGCTGTAAACAAACATGAATGATCAACACAATGGCATATACACGTCATCTCCTGCCTCCTGCATTCTCTACTCAGGCGCCACCCCTCGCCTGAATGCTTCGGAGATTTCGCTGTTGTTGAGAATGCCTCTGAACAGGAGAATCTCCTGCTGTCTTCCTAATATGTGAAAGTCCGGATAAACCAAATGTCTGAATTAGGAGATAATGCAAAGGAATGAAAAAGACCAAAGATAAAACTGAGTTTACAAGGAGGGAGCGTTGACACAGTTGGACTGCATCAGCTTTTACAAAGAACATTACAAAGCTGTTTTAACATTCTGTGCATAGACAGGCCGAGACAGTGATATGCAGTGCAGCGCCCCTAGAGAGTCTCTTGTCACTGGTAGAGACACACTAGTGATTTATTAGTAAATAGGAAATGAGAAGTGGGCGTCTGAATACAGGAAGAAAGCTTTTCCTTCCAGAGACTGCTTTGTATTGTACCTCTAAAAACCGATACAGTGACAGACAACAAAACCTCACATGCAGCCAAAAATACCACTTCAGACTGGTTGTATGCAAAGGGCAGATGTTTTGGCCTGAAGTTCAACATTCGCTCTCTTTTTAATCTGGTTCTTTATCCACTTGAACTCTAAAGCCCTGTTCAGACCTGGTGTTAACATCCGTCCTGAGAGATCCAATCACGAGTGAGCAGCGCCTGTGAACACTTGTGATCGGATCTCGCTTCCTCGCTCTACATGCAATGACATTTGTCATTTGACCCAGGAGTGGATGTTAAAGCCAGATGCTTGTGGTGTTGTTAGATTTTTTTGACCAGTGGAAAAAGGGTTTGATTTTATCTTTTAAAAGTCAATTAAAATTCGATGAGCAAAAACAAGCAATTATTATCCTTCAATTCTCAGCATGTCTTGCCAATTTATCTTGTATTTAGACCTGTATCAATGTATCGGGAATATATTAACTCATATTTTATATTCGGTTAATGTTTAATGTTTACACTTGACTGCTCTAGACTGATTTGCAAACCTTAGAACTGCTGAGCCATCTCTAAGTTCTGTCTAGATACTGTTAAATGCAAAGCTTAGGTTGTGCATGAACAGACAAGGCCACATGGGACCGTTGCCGACACTGGGGGGGGGGCAGGATGAAATGTGATACTATTTTTCAGCGCAGACATATTGTACCTTTTTGCACTTTGTCACACAGCAGAAAGATTTCGTCCCCTCCCTTGCAGCTTCCAGAGTTGCGGTTGATTCTGCAGATCTTCAGCTCAGCCGTGTTTGGGGCTCCTGCAACACAGAATAGAGCATAAATAACATAAGCAAACCAACAGCAAGCCTACAGGTTAATACCAGACACCTACTAGATGCAGA